ATTTATAATTAAGTCATTAGTTTTGCTCTAATGCTGTCGGAACAATGAAATAGGCTACGTTTCGCTGCCATACGGTCAGAATGGAATAACAGGCTAAACATGATTCGTGTTTACTAAAATATATAGCCATATTAAATGACTAGAAGCTTGAAAATTATGCCGAGTCTCCGACTAAAAATGTAATTTTGACAACACCGTCATGTCAGGCAAATATTTCCAATCTCCTCAGCAATTTAAACCTGTCAAATAGAAAGCGCAGTTGTGTATACCAGTATGGTCTAGTGTTGATCACAACTTGCGTGTATATAAGTAAACATCGACGATTGCTCAAACTCGGTATCGTAAATTTGTATATAAATTTTTTTAGTTGAGTACATTTTTAATACTGTTTGATTTGGTTATGTAGGCATCGAACATGTACATGATGAACGAACATTGTTGTATTTATAATTAAAAGGTTACTTGTATATATAAATGTTCCGCCATATTAAAAATACTGAAATCTGCTAGGCGTTCTGAAGCACCTTGAGCGGTGACGTCCACCTAGGTCCCAGTCTCGTACTACATCCACTTTTTTCTCGTGCTTGCTTCAGAACGACTGAGACTAGGCTGACAGTCTATATGTGCAAAAATAGTATTATGCAAGAAAATAAACCAAAGGTGACTGTCGATACATTTATTGTATAAAACTTTTTTTTAACTGAACCATATACAAAGATACTTTGCGTAGGTTCATATTATGATCCACGTTTTTGTCAAAAACCTTTTTTGCGTATAACACTGTATAATTTTTGCGTTGATTATATTTAGGGTAATGATTTACTCCACAATTTACTCTAATCTATTTTACTCTAAAAATATTTACTCTATTCTATAGTTTTCTTACTTTTCTGCTTTAAGTTTCGTGTTCAACAATTTTTCAAGAAATGTTCACACGCTTCCCGGTCTTAAACGGCGATTTTTAATTTAAATTCTGTTTCCTTTTAGATTCTAAATGTTAAAAACTTTTTATTCATGTCTAAACTACCCATCTAGTTTCAATTACCTTTAATCATTAAATATATCCATGTTTTTGTTTACAATTATAATTTGGCATTTAAATTCCTCCAAAATTGCATTAAAAATTCAGGTAATATATATCTAATCATATTTTACAACTGTAACACTGAATTCAAAATGTAAACAAAGCGTTTGTTTACATTACGGACTTTACATGGCCTTTAATAATGTACTTTACATTCTCCAGGCTTTGATAGTTGACCAATACTTTGTTCAAATGTTGACATGGTTTGAAAGAGTCTTTACTTACGTCTTTTAGTAGGAAAACAGACTTATAGGTAAACATTGTCAATATTCCATGTTAAACTCGACAGCGATGTTTGAGTTTCCCCAAATTTTTACTCATAAATCTTTTATTTACTTTTAGATTCGTTCAACACATGGCCTTGAAGATTGTTTGCATTATACTAAAGATTATCGAAATTGTAAGATGAATTTGTTTAATCCAAGATAAAATTTCGTATTTAAACCTTTCTTGTGCGGTTTTAAATTCGATCGATTTAATTAAATTCCAATTTCGCGCACTGACAAAACGGCTTGTTTTAGATTAATTTGACACAAATAATGGAATTGCAAGAAGCCAATCTTATAGTTCTATTTCAGATGGAGAATGTGAGAAAATAATTATATACTCATGAGATTGAAATTGCAAAAATGTTCTCTTCCGAAAAACCAAGTACACCTAGAAATGGTGGCCTAATAGCAATTTAACTGCCATTGTGCTGTTTTTCTATGAAATTAATTCGAAAATCGTTAATTTTTTACACGTAAGATAAGCTAGTAAAATAGCTCTTCAAGGTTCTACCTAATCATCAGTTTGAAACTGCTCGATTTGTAATTGCATGACTTGAATAGAGCTGTAACAATGCTATAAAACCTGGAGAGAAACGTCATTAAAGGATTATTGATTTCTTATATCTTCTTGGGAGGAGTATGAGTGTAACTTCTAGGTATAGTATTCGGTGGCTCTTCGCGTTGTGAAGTGACTACTCCTCCTTCGCTTCATATATCCTCTTAAAAATATAAATTCCACTTTTCCGCAGGTTGTACTAGTGGCAGGAACCGGTCTTGTTGGTTACTTTATGAAAGAGTTTTATGACGGTAGAAAGCCGGAAAACGATGATCGCGTCAATTCCTATGACCTCGGTCATTTTGGCAGATTTGAATTTTTCTTGTACACTACATGTCTTGGAGTGATTATGGTAGTTCTTTCGCTTGTGGCATTAATCACTGGGCTACTGGAGAAAAAGGGTGGAACATCGGCTGTAAGTTCTGTTAAATGCGTCAGAGACTTTTAGCAAATTTTATTTTAATCAGTAACTAACCATAAGAAAAATGAAGGGAGCGAAAAGAGAAGTTCCTACTATGCATGGATTTCGGTGTCCAGAGCAGTGAGCTCCCCGTATATCTGCAGTGAGAACTCGAGTCCAAAAGGTGAAGCCAGATGTGGCTATTGAACATGAGGTCCACTCCCTTTTCTATAGTTTTTGCCTTCGCAAGCGCGCAGTTGCTTGTGTTGCACTTGTTTTGCGCAAACATCATGTACGCCAACGTACTGTAGTTCCACGTCTTTTACGGTTCGCTTGGTGCACATGCATATTTTTCTCGCATAGTGACAAGTTTTCTGTCATGCATGTTCTGGCTGCATGCATAGTTTTCCAGAATATTTTTCTGCTAAGATTTTTTTCGTTCTTCCTTTCAATGGTCCGTCCCCCACAGTGGCGTAACGCTTGCCGCTGACACCATACCCGTAAGCGCATTCAATTTTCTTCATTAATTAACAAAACATGTCTCGGTCAGTGTGGCTCCCTAAACCGTTTTAAATTAAAGACAAAGAGTATCTGACTTATGTAATACAAGGGGTGTGTGAATAGGGGTATACAAATCCGCCGATCCTCCCAAATGTGAAGCAAAATCCGCGATCCGAGAATGGTCTTGCCTAAACTTGAATCCGCTAAAAGCTCTACTATGAAGTCACAATTCAGGATCCGAACTAAATTGCAAGCTAAATCCATAATCCGAGCCAATATATTAGATAAATCCGCAATCCGCTGATTAATAAGATCCGCAAATCCGTATAAAATATTCGCAAGATCCGAAATTCGAACATTTTTTTCTGTGAAATCCGACGATCCGAAAACCTATTCACCCCCCCCCCCC